GGGGCGGAGGGATAGGGAACTACAGAGGTGTTGGATTGATGCGCACACCAGTTTGCATCACTCCTATCGCGCGTTCCTTACCTGGACCCCAGAAAACAGAATATGCATATGTTCTTTGTTTGCACTCATGTCTCCACCCGGGATGTCTCGGTTGTCATTCTGTTATTTTTGCTCTGATTTCCCCCATCCCACTCTTTTTTTCTGTTACAGCCCGGAAGTTTTGTTTGTCAATGCCCGGTCGGGTTTACCGGGCCACGATGCGAAGAGGTGGTGCTTGAATGCACTGCCCAACCATGTCGTAACGGGGCTCGTTGTATCGAGGGTATGGGTAGCTATCGATGTGAATGTGCTCCAGGTTAGTCCAGCTTTAGCCCACCCCGTCCCGAGATTGTCTGTGGGTGTTCGACCCAACCGAAAATAACATTATCCCAGTGTTTGTATTTTTGTTCTTTGTTTTCCCCCCGTGGTCTACTGATGTGATGCTGTACACTTGAGTCTGAAGCTGTCCAGGACTGATGATCTGTGTGCGTGTTTGTGTGTGTGTGTGTGTGTGTGTGGCAGAAGGGATGGGCGACAGGGGATTATGCAGATACAGAATGATAACACATTCATACCATCTTTTGCCTTGGAGATCTGATCAACCATGAATGTTTATCAAAGAGTCGAACTATGCACTGTGACTAAAATTGTACTCTTTGGTTCCGATAATGTTTTTTTCTGCTATAACATGCAGTCTGATCGCGAATTATGCTATCAACGTTGGGCCCGCATAGCTTCTGGAAAACTCGGCATGCCCATGGCGGGGTAGAGTAGTATTAGGTAGTCAAGGTTATAAAGTAATGCAAATGGCATACCAGGTGTACGAGTACCTTCCTCCGTTTGCAATATTTCCCGAGGCAGGGAAACAGGTGTGATGAAATAAGTGATTTGACCGCGGATCTCTGTTAGGCCCATTGCGTCCAACTTATAGGCGTTGGTCCTCGGGATTAACCGAATCGATTGTGGATGGTGGCACTCGTTGAGGCCACTCGTGTGCATCTTTTCCCTGTTTCAGCCACTTGTTCTCTCAGATGTGTCATCATTTTGTCGTGTTCATTCACGACCTTCATTGCACGGCAGTGGATCAAATGGAGTGCTCAATGATAACACATCAACCCGGAATACAGAAGCGCGTGATGAATGATCATTACACAAACCAAAATTGGCGTGTGTGTGTGTGTGTGTGTGTGTGTGTGTGGCCCCAACCCCACCGGATTTGCGGAGTACGCATTATTTGAATGGGAAAAGTGGATCAGTGAATAACGCCACGATGGTTCGTTACGTTGCAGCAGTTCAAATCTCGTTCTCTCCCGACTCTGCTCTTTCCCATTCGAAACGAAGCTTGTGTAAAATATCTGTTGCACTATCGCATTCAGCATAAACAATGGGCCATTGTACTTTGTATTTTCACACTACCCGGTTTTATCTTGGTTGATCGATTTCTGAGACAGTGAACTGAAATTGCAAGAGTTTCTGATTCATCACTATTTGTATAATCCAACCAACACATCTCCAACATCAATAAAGACTGCCCTGAATCTATGATATCTTTAGTCCCGGAACTTGAAGTGTCAACTCANCCCCCCCCCCCCCCCCTCCTTCCCCTACGCGAGGGAAAAACAAATCACCAACTGTCACTGAAGTATACTTCTTACTCAAGTTCATTCGTTTTGGTCATTCATTCAATTCGCACAAAAGCACTGCAGGTATTGCATGTAAGCTCGATCAGTTTTTTTTTATCTGTGGGATGGAACTCGCATGGTTCAAGGCTATGGGTTACCATACGACCCGGCACATTTCCACGGGTCGGTGCCAATGTCGGCAGATCGGGAACAAGTGAGCACGGGCGTGTACACACGTCCGTCAAATCCCGCGGGCCGCTTGAAACGGTGGCTATTCGAGTTGTTCTGTTCTTCATAGCATTCTGTCTATTTGTTCNTGATGTAATCAGTGTACAATGCTCCGGATAAGATCAAGTCAGTTCGGTTAAGCGAAAAAGAACATGCCCGTAAAGTGTCCAAACAGGTAGACGTAAGTAGAAAACAGGGAGAAGAACGGGTAGCAAAGTGACCTGTAACACGAGAGGAGTCTGTCACAGACGGCAATTACGAGTGCCGGTGGGAATGTAACCTTGTTTGGTTCGGACGCGGTGCGGATCCACCTATTCTTTCGCTCATGTTCTCCATATACGAGAGGGAGAGAAGGATACCCGAATAGGGAAGGCCTTCAGTACGTGATCTACTGAAACCACTTGATTAGCTGTACCCATTCAGAGGGGAGACTCAAAACCAATGGAATGAATGTTTACCAGCTGTACGACTTCCTCGATCTATCCTATGTACCTATATAAACAACAGTCGGAGGAGAAATAGACGAAGGGGGGCTCAGTTATTGATCTAAGCCTGCAACTGAAACTCACCGATATCCAAACGGGCAGTTTTGGGTGTGTGGATTGGGCTGAAGTGTGATTCGTTTAAGTATAATAATAATGATGGTACGAATAACAAATCGACGATAATAAGTAATTGGATATCATTGGGTGCGATTCCCCACCCGAGTGAACGAAACGAATCAACCGATGAGTGATTAAACTGAGCCTCCGAACAAAGACAGAGTGAGCGAACGAGAGAGAGAGAGAGAGGATGGGTAAGCACAACCGCACAACTTCAAGTGTGAAAATGATACTGTCCGGTATAAACTGAACACCAGCATCTCGGTGAAGTGAACCACAGAGCTTCTAGGTTTCCTCACTCTTTCTACACCAGACATGCCAACTATGCAGCTCGCACCCACCGGTTACTATAGTTTGGTCGTTTCGCGACAAACATTACAACTTGTATACTTAGGGTAGGTTCATCGAAATGGGTAACTTCGAATTGAAATTGCTTCATTTACTTGTCGTATGAGGCCCTCGCAAGTGAGACTCAAATGGCCCTCGGGGATGCTTAGTTTAATGCAGTTGCTTGTCTAACAATTCGTTTAACCTGCTCAATCATGTCTTTTGTTATCAACAAAAATCTTGGATAACCCTTCACATCCATTACATCAAGATCTTATCAAGTGTGTTTCCTCCTCTTTCATCCAGTTCCGTTATAAGAGTATATTTGCTCGTACTACCGTTTATCGGTCTTCTGTGGTGCCCTATCTTGCCCGATTTCTTTTCAGCGCAGAAAGCATTGCTTCGGACCTATACTCAGTTATATCTTAAATTGTATTCATTTTCACTGCTCACGATAATTATGCTATAATTTTGTTCGATAATGATGACTATGTGTGACTGCTGAATATCCACCTTTCGGGGTGCATAAAACAAATACTTGACTTGACTTGACTTGAATCGCTGAAACGATCACTTGCAGTGCAGCTAACCTCGTGTTTCTCATTTTAGGAGTCCTTGTCTATCTGTACGCTTGCGCTCATCTAGAGATGAACCAATCTAATGAGTTACACATGTAACCGAAATGTTCACATCACGTGACATGTAACTGCCTTCAGTCTTGATGCAACAACGAACGCCGTGTTTCAAAACTTTGGTTTGTGAGATCATTTCCCAAAACGCTTCTCTTCCCACATGGACGGTTCATGTTCTAATGTATGAACTGTACTCCCGACTGTAGGATCACGTGCTGAATACTATTGAATTGGACATGCCAATACGAACGTGCTATTTACTCACACTGCCTGTGAAAATTTGTGCATGCTCAAAAATTGCGTGTGTGTTGATGATAGGTCGTGAATAGGTCGCTTCAAACAACATTGCAGATGGAACAGGATTGACATGCTGATTTTCTTTTCTGCTCCGACAGCTTTCAGTAGTTGGCCCCTAGATTGTCAAAGGAATCAGATCCGGTACGTGGGGACGGTATGTGTGTGTGGGGAGGGGGGGGCGGGGGG